GTGGGGTAGTTCAGCCTGGAGAAGAGAAGGCTTATAGCAGGTGTCCAGTATCTAAAGGGACTTATAAGAAAGATGTGGAGAAACATTTTAGCAGGACCTGTTGCCATAGGACAGAGGGTAATGGCTTTAAACTAAAAGAGAAGAGATTTACACTGCATATAAGGATGACATTTTTTACAATAAAGGCAGTGAAACACTGGCACAGGTTCCCAGACAGGTGGTTGATGCCTGGAAGTGTTCAAGGCAAGGTTGGATGGGGCTCTGAGCAACCCGATCTAGTTGAAGATGTCCCTGCTCATTGCAGGGGGGTTGGAACCAGATGGCCTTTAAAGGCTCCTTCCAACCCAAACAACTCTACAACTCTACAATAATTACATACAGACAGACTGATTTAGTGCACTGGAACTGTACTGGGTCAGAACAAGGATATTCCTTGCCTAACATCCTAGTTGACAACAGCAGGCGTCCAGGAAAAAGCATAAGTGACAGGATGGTTGTAGGGACTCCTTCTCCTCCCATTCTGGATACTCCATAGTTCAGGCACTACTAGTGACAGTTTCTTTGGAATGAAGTAGTTCATGACAACTAAGGCCAGAGATCACCAGTGCATGTATTCAGTTGCTTTTGAATTCATGATGATTAACATTCCCCATCTACCTTCTTCAAGTCTCTTATTATATTATAGCCCATATCTCCATCTTTCCCCACTTAAATCGTTTAACTCAATTTTTGCTTGTATAGAACTCAGTACTTATGTTTACCTGTCACCCTCTTGAATCATCTTTTCACTCTGCTTGGTCTCTCAGTCAAGTTTTGTTTGTGTATTTTTCGGGTGGAGACGGGAGGAACACATTTGATTCTGATATGTGCTTACAAAATAGGTTTCCCCACTGGTACAGTGTTTGCTATTTTGTTCTCTGTTCATGAGAACAGGGAAGTCTTTACAGGGAAGTTTGCTGCCTGGGGCCCCTGGGGCCCGAATCTAGATGAGATGTCACCGGACAACTGAATAGCTTAGTATAGCTTTGGACTCTTATCCACTCCTGCACTTTCACGTGAGTACCAAATATGTTGCAACAAAAAGTTTAAGGTCGATCAAAAGAGATTTCAGAGCCCTGGGAACAATGTTTAAAAATTCAGAAGCACAGGCAGTATCTTCTTCAATCCTCCCAGTAACGAAGAGAAGCTCTGGAAAAAAACAGATGAACCCAAGAGGTAAATACCTGGCTCTAGGACTGATGCTCGAAGCATTTCTTTACCAAGAGGTGGTCAAACACTGGAACAGGCTTCCTAGAGAGGTGGTTGATGCCCCAAGCCTATCAGTGTTCAAAAGGCATTTGGACAATGCCCTTAATGAAACATTTTAACTTTTGGTCATTCCTGAAGTGGTCAGGCAACTGGACGATCCCTTCCAACTGAAATACTTCTTTTCTATTTATTTTCAAGTAGTTATCACTTCCATTTTTCTGTACTGAGCCAATATTTGCATAAATGCCAAGATCTCTTTTCCCAAGCTTAGCAACACCCCCACAAAACCCCTACATTTTTTTAACGTGAGTCCTTTCTGTCCACAGCTGTAACTAAGTCTCACTTGAAATTTTATGGGCCGGCAACCTGGTATAAGGAGGTTACATAGTTCTTCAGAGAGCCCTGGTCATCATAAGCCTGAATAACCTTGTATTATTATCCAGCTCAACTTGTATTTGTACCCTCTACCATCTCACTTACTACAGTCCTGACCAGCATGTTTCCATGTGTTGCCTCTGTGGAATCCCACCACGAGTTCCTGCCTTTTTGAAGGTCAACCATTTCTGCCTTGATCCATTTCTAGTCTTTTAACCAGTTAAACATCCATGCAAGGACTTTCCCTAACATCCCAGAACTGCCTAATTCTCTAAAAGCTTTTGCAAAACACCTCTGGAAATTCAAGTAAATGTTTTGAGAAAATATCTAGAAGTTTAACCTTCTCTTGCACTGCCATATGTGAATCACCATCTTCTAAATCACTCACAGAGTTCAAGTAACTGAGGAGAGCTGAGAATGTGCAAGGAAAAAGTCTTTTAAACATAAATACCACTCAGTAAGGAGGTTTATATTTAGACTACAAAGGGAACCATCAGTCATTTGGTACCATCAGTAAAATAAATTTATTATTACTTTTTGGGCTGCGACTTTCAAAAAAAAAGAGAACTTTTTAATTTATGTGTCTACATCCCTCTCACACCTCTGCTGTAATGTTCTCTCTCCCTATGGGGTTCAGTTGTCTGCATCCCAAGGATTCAAGGCTGAGCCCAAACACAGCAAAGTTATGTAACTTTGGGTCAGAATTCATAGAAAAGTGCTAAGTTCTGAGACAGACTTCTGAGAAAAATATGTAGAAAGATAAGAAATGAGACAGGGTAGAATGTCTAAATTAGGGATCACTAGCTGCTTAAATAATTCATCAAACAGAAAGGTATAAGATCCTAAAATAAAAAGATGAAGGTGGGAGGGTCACTACCAGTCGTCACTTTTTTCAAAGCTTGAGTCCTGCTGGAGATGAAAGCAAACAATTCAGCCACACCATGGATCTGACTGACATAGCTGTTGAAGCAGATTCTTCTCCTGACTGAAGCCTGTCTAGACAGCAAAGATTTCTGGGTTATTATATAACAGTGGTGAGCATATTTACTGTCAGCCCCATTGCTAATGAAGGCTTGGCTATAATCTGGGAGTCCTTGCCACTACTTACTTCCTTTGTACTTTTGCACTTAGCTGTGCAAAATATGTTGCTACAAGTCAGATGCTCAGGCAAGCTAACCTAAAGAAGGGAGGTAACAGATCAATGGAGAACAAAGTCAGGCTCCATAGTTTGTAATATGTCCTCTTCCCTGAAAGGTGAAGGCTGAAAACAAGATCATCAATCTGCAACCTTAGTGCAGTCAACTATAGTGACTTTTGGAGACTTCAGCTCACTAGATAGGAAAAATGTCCATTAATGGTGGTTGTAACCTAAAATAGAAATAACCATTTCCTAGAAAAAAATCCTTCATTTCCGACAGAAGTTTAGGGATACAAGTTATTCAGAAATAATATTGTCCAAAGCAGTGTCCTCAAATGAGAAGCGTGAAGAGGTAGAAAATGCATTACAAGGTCTATTGCCTGCTGGTTTGTAACTATGCTACTACTGATCAGCATGAGATAAAGAAGAGCATCTGCTGTCTCTTTAAGAAAATACAGAGAGAAACATCAGGCATTTTTTTCTGTTCTCAGCCTGGCAAACACTCCCAGTGTAAGTAACCACAAGGCAGAAATAATTCAGAAATCAGTCACGGAAGCATCTTTACTCACACTGGAGACACTACAGTCTGTCCTCTGGTATTTCAAAGTTTCTGTGGACCTGCACACCTGCAGACAATATGTTTGAATCAGGAATAAACGCTGATTATATTTAAGAGATGCACAGTATGGGAAGTCCCAGTTCAAATTTCTCCATGCCTGAGCCATGACTGCGATTTCATAAGTCAGTAAACTGAGACAGGCTTTACAGGCTCATTAACAGCTCTCCACAATAAGACTGACTGTGCCAAGATAACTTGATAGTTCTGACTGCTGTTGTGCTGTGCCCACTGTATTACAATGCTTCCACAGATTTAATGACTGCACATTTACGCTAAAATGACTTTATTTGCTTGCTAGGGAGAAGAGATAGACCCAATAGACAACAAGCAAATGGATAACGAACACAGAGCGAAGATCCTGGATGAAAAGGACTGACTGAAACATTAGCTACAAAAAAAAGACAAAAATTTGCTTCATGAATTAAGCAACTCAAGATGTAAGAGCTTGCTCCATGGATTATACAGGAACCAATCATCAACCATCAAAACAAATGCTGCTGATTTCATGTTACTGGTGTTTGTAATAAACTGTCACGAACGCATTTTACATATCTGTGAGAATAGCACATATGCATGCAAATGGTGTTATTCCTGAAGAGCAACTATTTAATCTCAGTTAAACCTTTCTTTTTTTTAGCATTTGAAGTTATTACATGAGAAAATACTTAGCAGGACATACATGAAAAGTCACTTCAAGCAGATAAGTATTCTCATTACTTCAGTACTCATCTGGTGCCACAGTTCAATAGATACTGAAGAAGTTGAAAGTGTTCACTGATATGCCTGGCCTGTTAAAGTAAAGCTAAACAAAGATTTGATGCAAAGCTGCAGAGCACCATAAATGTAGAAGGAGAGATAAAAGTCCAGCTGTTGAAGACCCTCAACCCAGTGGTGATGGCAACTCACACAGCAGATCTGGAAGTGGATACTCATCCTGATATCAGTCCCTAATATGAAGGACAAAGACACCCTTGGTGATTAAGAGATAACAGATATCAGGAGCAGAGCAGGAAGGGGCTGAGCTGTAGTCTCTCCCCCCAACACTATCACACTTGAATTTCATCTATTATTGTATCACAAGCCTAACTTACACAGCAAAATTCCATAACCTTGGCTTAGGATGTGAGAAAGACGTACGGAAAAGTCTACAGAAAAATATGGATAGACCTCAGATGGTTCACACAGGATCTGCTGGTAGCTTATAGGTTTAAGAGGAGATAAACCCACCAACGAGGAGAAGTATAGAAAGCAACAGGGAAAAAACAAAACCCAACAACAAAAAGCAGGGCAGGGAGAGCACGTGTCATCAGCTGTTTGAGTTATCACTATTGGAGTCAGTTAAAGGTGGCAACTCAGCAACCCCAGGCACTTATTTGCTCCAGGACAACACAGAGGCTGACCTCCTTCTCCATAACAATGCTAGTCCACTCAACAATGACCTTCTGGGTTTCAAAGGCATTGTTACAATTTGGGGGGTGGGAGGATTTTGTTTTGTTTTTTTGTCACATGAAATGATCATGAAATGACATGTAGGCATAGATAAAATAACATCTGGAAAATGAACACTCAGAAATCTGTAGGGTATTGGCATCTTCCATAAAAATGACATTCAATACTTACTGTGCACACATGAGGCCAGTTCTCAAGCTGATGGAGCACTTCTGTGCTAAGATCCTCCCAGAACATTTCCCGATAGATCTGTGGCATCTTTGACACCTTGACACCACTGCTGTACTTGCTCAGAAGCTCCTTAATGCGACTCTGAAGTTCATTGACATCAGCAGCAGAAGAGCCAGAGGAAACAGTATGTGTCTCTGCAGTGGATGTATTTAAGTTATCTGTTAAAAAAATACAGCCTTGAAGTACACACAGCCTTACCAACAGAGAGAAATACAGATGATTACCTCCTTACTAAAAAATTAAACACCTGAGCTGCCACTGTAACATCAGCTCTAAAATGTGCCTCTCCTGCCCAGCACAGCTAGTTCAGTGACTTTCTACTAGAAAGAGCTATGGAAACCTCAGACATTTAGTAACTGACCTAAAGCTGCATTTTCAATCACCATAGTTATTTTCATAAGATGCTGCTAAATTTTACTTCTGAAGAAATTCTGGAAGAGGATGTAGAACCCTCAGCCCCACTGCAGCTGAGAAGCTGCACTAAGGCAGTATCCCAAGGGGGGCACAAGATAATTTCTTTATGAATACACACACAACAAAGACACAGCAAAACAACTAAGAATGTTCTGTATTCAGACAGGCGCACAACTCAGACCAATCATTTCCCTTTCATTCCAAGATATGTCCTGACGAAAAGTCTCCATCCAGCACACAGCCTTTCTGTGCTACTGCATCCAAGGAAGCCCTCCAATGAAGCAGCAAAAGAGACAACAACTGTCCACGTGCTCTGGACAGTTTCATACACTGTGTGCAGGAGTAAGACAGTCATTATTTCTGGGGGAGGTTCACATCACTAGCTTGCCTTCTCCCTCATCTCTGCTCCTCTCTTTCCTTTGAAGGAGTATGTTTGCTACTACTCCTGAAGCTTCACAAATCAGCCTCACAGGTCTCAAAGAAAGCAACCATCACTTGGCAAGCTCACTAACTGCAGAACTGTTGTGAATCAGGCAGGCAGGATGGTATTTTCTGGACAGATACATTAGCGTGCTGCTTACTTCTGAAACCCAGGATTTCACTCTTCTACCAGAGCCCTAACCTGGCAGTGAAGTTAAGTTTACTCCTCCTGTTTCCAAGCTACTCACACTAGCTTTGTGATTGGCTTTGACACTTACTACCCAATGTTTTTCATAAAAGACTGAGAGGCAGACAAGCGAACACACACATTTCCTCAGCACAATGAAATGAGAGTGAGAAGGTTCACTCATAGGACTTGGTTTCTCACCCAAACCTATTTCATTCAAAACAAGTACTAAGATGGATTTTTCTTAAGATGACACCCAGTCTAATATGAGCAGTCAACAAAAATTTTCTTAATGGGTATACCATTTGATTCTGTGGAAGAGCTTCTGGACAGGTGAACTTGCAACTCTTTCTGAAACCGTGGTGGGACTGTCAGTCTCTTCTCAGACCTAAAATTGCAAAGAAAATGGCTTAAAATCATTCTCTTATCTCTAAATATTCCATTTGTTTATAAGACCTATACATAAAACAAATTCCACACACTTCTAGAAGGCCTTCTGCACAAGATCATTACTCACAATGTCCTTGCTTGGAAGACAACCTGATGAGCAGTAACAGTACATATCAAGAAGTGGTTTCTAGTTTTTTTCTTATTTTCCTTATTATTGTGAGAATCAAAACACACAGTAAAGAGACATTAGCAAAAGAAAAGCACTTAGACCTAGTAACAGCTGACAGTCTTACACTCGATACATTTAGTCTCACTATTTGGTCATTTATCTGGATGGCATCTCAGTCTTGCTCTTGAACATGATTATGTTAATCTGCTTGGTAGCCATGTGCTTCCTGAGAGTATTTGGCTTCAGAAGTCAGAGAAACACATGGCAGTTAAGGTCTTTTTCTGGATGCTGTTGCTACCTCATTTAACAGATTCCTCTCTGATGATATCTCCCACTGAAAGTACAAAAATGTCATGCTTGCAGGACCTTCTGAGGTGCCTCAGAGAGCAGCAGCTTTTACTGGGAGCATAGACACCTAGATGAGCTCCTGACACTGAAGAGATCACAGTTGTGTGTAGCTCACTAAGAAGTGAAAACAATCACCTGTGAAATAATTACATACACTGCAAGCAAAAGAGAAAAAAGTTTGAAGACTAGGACCAAGCACTTCCCAAAGTCACACATGCAAGGAAAAACTGTGGTGGAGAAATCAGGGTGGCAACAAAACAGCTCTCCACCAAAACACAGCAGGTTGCTGTGAACCAGGCATCTCCAGACCAGAGCAGACCCTGCAAATGCACTTGGCAGGCTTTGCAGATGACCTCTGCCCAGGGGCCAGTAAGAACACTGGCCTGAACTGTGGAGTTCAGGGACAACAATGAAGCAAAACAAAAACTTCACCAGCTGCAGAAACACCAGCTTCACCTGGACTCTCAAAAGGTAGGACAGCTGTTCAAGTATGATGTTGAGACTAGCAGCCATGGGGAGCCGAGATCAAGGAGCTTATATGCCACCAAACTGACTTTTCACCAGAGCAGATCCATGAATCAGAAAGAGGCCTCCCACATTCACATATGTTCTAAGCAACATCTTAAAAAATTTAACATGCATTTGTCTCCCTTGCTTTTTTGGTGTCCCCATGAGATGAAACCACTGCTCCCTCATCAGCTATGTGGTGTCATTTGTACCAAAAATAATACTTCTGTTCTGAATCATGTCTCACAGCATTAGCAGTGAAGACAGCTACTGCCCAGCACAGCAATTAATAAAACAGGAGTCATGCCCAGAAGTGCTAGACAACAGCACATATGTGAAACTCAAAAAGTGCAACAGCAAAGCCACCCACACAAAATCAAAACACACATTCACAACTTGCACTTGTTGGGTATCTGAAAAGACTCTTCCAACATTCCACCTGCATCACAGGAAAACCCTTGACTTTCTGGGCACAGCTCAGATGCCCACACAAAGCAGCAGCAGTCTCTTCTTAGAAGGTGTGCCGTGACTGGCTATGCAGACCCTACAAGAAATCCAGGATCTCATTTCTCTGTACGTATATGTACCAGTAAGGACAACTCCAAGCTGGATAGACACCCAAGCTAAAAGAAGTCCTCTTAATGGAAGTAGACTCAGAAGAGACTACTGCCATTGCTAGTCAGAAAGCAAAACAATTCCATGAACTAGCTACATAGAGCTAATGGAGACTGTCCTGCTAGCCATCTCCCAACAGGAATCCATAGCTGAGTTCTAGTCCTCAGTGGCACACATCACTTGTATCACCGTAAGCCACACGTGAGGTGACATGAATGATGTAAGTGCAGGCTAGGCCAGCAGGAACTGCAGCAAGGTTTCAGTGAGGAAAAAGGCAGATGTTCCCCTCTCAAGCCATGCCATCTGGACACCTTGGAAAGGAACTTGGAACAGACTGATGATTCCCTTATGTATCTTGTGAAAGCTAATTGGATTTGGGATCCTCTCAGTATTAAGAAACTTCATGTGGTGTCTTCCTGTGCTTTCTGCTATGGTTCAACAAATTCCCATGGAATGAAGTGGTGCTAACATCAGCTTTGAGCCCAGTCACCATCAGTTTCAAGCCCTGCAATTAGACAAGGATCCTGTGATGTGCTTCTTGCTCACACAGATCATGATGGCCTTATGACCCCAGCAATGAGATGGAACACAGCCAGACAGCGGCAGGGCCAACACACTTCTCTCCAGCATGCAGGTGTGGACAACTGAGCTGCCTGCAAGGCCTCATGTTCCTCAGCTGCTAGAAACCTGCTCCCAGCAAGAGGGCCTCCTAGCCACACCAGAAGCCTGGCCCCTCACAAATGCCTGACTAGCCATGCAGCCCTGCCAAGTCACCCACCTGCAGCTGTAGCTGAGCAGCCAGCTACATCTCACTCTCAGACATCACCATCTCACAGTGAAGGGAAGCCATGCCCTTCCCTTCCAACTGCCTAACCTTGGTAAGGCCTGTGCCATCCCAATCTGCTCTTTGGTCCTCGGACAGTGCTATCTCAGCAGCAGGGCCAGGCAGTGGCCAGCAGTGAATGGTTTCTGCTGCTTCCAGTGAGGAGGTCAACAAGCACCTCAGCCTGTTCTCATCCATGCGGCTGCTTTCCACCCTCAAGGATCTCTGCAGTTAACCTTACCAGGTTTCTGGGGATTTGCAGGTCCACAGTCATGACATGAACTTACTCAAGTCATTGATGCTATAAAGACAGCCTCTCAGATCTGCAGCAGCATCTGCAAGAAGGCCTGGAAGGGTAGCGGGAAACAACCCGGTACAACTGCAGCTACCTTCAGCAACTACCTGTTGTCATGTGTGTGACAGAATGGGGAGGACAAACATCTCGTTCCCCTACCACCCAATCTACATAGTCACAGATGCAGCAGTCATGAAAATCTCTGAGAAAAATATCACTGAGTGCTACAGAGGTGGGACATAGACTTTGGCAGTCACAAAGGGAATTGCCATTTTCATCCTCATGGTGGGGCTTCATTACATGATAACAGGCAAAGTCTGTCACTGGCAGGACATCCTGTCAAGGCAAGTAACACAAATCTACCACAGCAGGACCAATGTTCAACAGAAAAGGAGAAAACAAAGACCCTTCAGTGCAACCATAAGAGTACGGATTTGCTACAACTTGGGTAAATGGAGGGGCAGGGTGGGTAACAGAAAACCAAAAACCACAGATGGCCAATGGTTCACCCCAAACTGGGAAATGGGGCAGCCCCAGTCTGTCATCTTCAGGACTTGTCTCAGTCAACTTGTACCGTGAATGCTCAGCCACTCTCACAGGCAAGTGCTGACACCACTGCTGGCACAGTGCCCTCGAGTCTGTGCCAGCTACCTGAGGCTGCTGTGAGCTCAGGACTTCTGAGGATGCTGCTCACAATTCCACCCATTTGCACACTGTTTTGAGCTCAGGACTTGCTGGCACAAAGAGGCCTTCCCTCCTGCAACTCCCAAGCAACTGCAGTAGCTCAGGAGTTACAAAACGTCCACAGCAGCAAGGACACTGGCCATGGATCTTGCTAGTCCTGCTTCAAACTGGCCAAGTTGAAACAAATTAATCCAGTCACATGGCCACTACACAACCTTGCATTCAAACAGTATGATCCTCTTCCTTCTGAACTGTCCCTTCAGTATGTGAAGCTAACAAGCTAACAGGACAGCATTTGAACCCTTTGCAACAGCAGAAGATATCTTCTCCTCCAAAACTACCTGGGCCAAAGCAGACTTCACTTTGTAGCTTCTCCTTCACAACTGGGCAGAACAGACACCAGAAACAAAAGCAGAACACCTACGTGAAAGCAGTACATGGGAGCAGAGAGATGAACAAAATAACAACACAAGATGTAGCACACTCCATTAGAACACCCGGAATAGGACTGACACCTACTTAATTTTATTTTACACATTATGAATCTTCAAGTACCTGGCCTTCCAGTAACTAACTTGGAGAGAATTGTAAGTGCTGTTTTTGCTCTGCCTGTCTGGGACAAAGGACCTCTGCCTTTTAGGGAAGTGCCACTTAAAAAACTGGAACTCATATGCACACATGGAAAAGGGAAGGCCTGTGCACACCTGCTCTCACATTTCTGGATCACAGCAGGATGGCTTGGCCCTTCTCTTCTCTGCACAACAGATATCTGACACACACAGGACTCATGCAGGTGACTGGGACAGGACGTGCCTGCTTTCTGTGGCTCTTCCAGAAACAGCAGGCACCACGGCAGGATTAAGCTGTCGCGCTGCTCCGTGCCACTTCATACTATGCCACCATGGAAGCAGCACACCACTGCCTTTTCCATTCAGTGCAAGTCTGGCTTCTAACCCAGCCCGCTGACCTGCAGAGGATTACCACCACAATCACAGCTCCAGCGGACTTAGCACAGCCACAATGAGGGAACAGCAAACACTTTCTCCCCACCATCAGCTGATGGCCCACAGCAGCCGAAAACAACACAGAAAGAGAAATGATGGGGCAGCAGCTGCCTAAGCCACCTGGATTAGGGAGGCTCAAACCCGCCTGAAAACCACCATGTACTGCTAACCCAGCAAAACTGCAGCTCCAGCCCTCGGCTCACTTCACCCAAACACACTCAGGCGGCTCCTGGCTCCCAGCACACTGACAAGGGCCACAAACACTCCTGCTGCAACACAGAGCTCAGGCAAGAGGCAAACACCAGCCACCTGAACACAACCATCACCCGGAGCATGCACCAGTGCCTGTCCCCTGCACACAAACCTCCTCCTGCCTTCTGTCACACTGGCCACAACAGCTCCCTCCTGAGCCTGGCAGGCTGTGACAGCCCCGCACTCCCTTGCTGGGACACCTTTGGCCAGCTTTCTCCCCAGAAGATGGAGCAGGCCAAGAGCACTGGGCAGCTATGGCAGCATCCAGAAAGGCAAAGGGTCATCCGTCTCCTTCCTGGGACACCAAACCACGTTCAAACTTCAGCATCTCCAAGTGTGGCAGCCCAGATTCCCACTGGATCCCAAAACACACTGCTGGCACAGCGGCATCCAAGGGTCCCCCTCACTTCCTTTCACCTTGCTCACACACACACACACATGCACACACTGACCTGTTTACCACAGTGACATGCCTCTGCATGGGGATTTCTTTAGGTGATCCACTCCCAGCAGTTGAAGGCAAGGTAGACCGGGCACTGTCCACAACAGGTTTCACAGCTCCAGACGCCACTTCTCTGCCTCGGGGCAGGCGAGAAACAGGCTTCTTGCTGCCTTCTTCTGGCACACTCAAAGACCGGGGCTGTCGCAAAGTTCCTTTGGGCTTTCCTAAAGAGTTTGCAGATGGAGCCATGAGCAGCACTCTCCTCCACCCAACCAGTCTATTTCCACCTCCCTGGGCACCTCCTGCACTGCTGTCCAAAGGGTTTCTTCTTTTCTACTCTGGCCTGCAGGTACCCAAACTCCCACCACAAATCACAGGTGACCAAGTACAACACCCACAGGGAAACACACTACGCTGGCTTTCAGGCAACACTGGGATAAACAAGCTCTTGGTCACCTTGCGGTTTATGTGCTGGCTGTGCCACATCAATTCTGGAGGGTTGAAACACTTCTGAGGGGTATTGCTGTGCAAGACAGTAAACCAGTGTGCCTTTATAATTACTGTTGTTTAACTGGGGTATGAGTCACCAGTTCAGCTTCCCAACCAGAGGGAACTATTGGCATGGTTGCAGGAGAGCAAGAAGCAGCAAATCCTTCCTTACAGACAAGAGGAGAATACAAACAAAGACCCACTGTTGCTCCAACCTGCCAACTTGCAAGCAGATGGGTCTTGCCTGGGCCTGATCCTGGGCCCGATCCTGGGCCCACTCCCACAACAGCACAGCAGTGAGGGAAACCTGACCCACAACCTTTGGGAAAACACTGCTACAGCTTACACAAAAGGTAAGAGGTAAAAAGAGCAGGCAATGGGCATCAGAACTTTTGTGGCACTAGTGCACTGGCATCAGCAAAAGGAGCTGCTGAAAACAGCCACAGATGATGCTGCAGAGAGACTCCTTCTCACTGTCAGGGCATGGCTCACCCCTGCCACTCCATAATGGGCCAAAGCCGGCCTCAGAAAATGAGCAGGCTCGTTGCCACATTTCTTGCCCACATCTCAACCACACTTCTCACAGAAGCAGGGACACATGAAAGCGAAGCCAAGAGTCCTCTAAGAACTTTTTTTTTCAAGATCATTTGCATCTCACATACACGCTTGAGAAGGGCTTCCTCTCTGATCATGGCTTTCAAGCATAAGCACCCTTGCCAACAGCACTCCGTCCTCCCAGGAACTCTCCACCAGGACCATGCAGCTCATGGCCATTAGTGATGCACCCTCCTGGCGAAGACTTTTGCTGCAGCAGCTGCACAGTTCTTTCATAAAGGCAGGCCCATGGCTTACCTGATAAACTGACTGGAGATGTGTTCTTCAGCCTCATCTGACAGTTCACCTGCCGGACCGTTTTCTTTTTGGAACTCCTCTGTCGGGCCACCAGTTGAGCAACTCGCACAGTTTCACTGCAACTCACAGCATGGCAGACGACCTTGTTGGAGCACAAAGGGGACAGGGAAAAGCAGTCAGTGAGGCCCAAGCTCATCCACAGCCCTCATAATGACTTGCATCCATTTCCAAGCCTGTACCTGCCGGGTCATGCAGGTCTGCAGGTAGTTCAGGAAAGGCTTTGGCAGACACTGATCTTGAAAACCTCCCTCTCTTTTTGCAGTGAACCTTAGAGAGCAGCAAAGCAGACAGCCAGAGCCTCTCCATCACCTTCCCAGATTAGTCTGAGCCCCTCCAAGAAACAGCCTGGTTTCTCACTCCCATACCACAGGCCCACAATCTTGCTTTACAACATTGGGAAGCCACGGGCTTCCAGCCTGCTCACACTCCTCTTGCCAAGGCTCACTAGAGGCTCTGGCACCACTCTGACCCTGCAGAGCTGGGCTGTCTTTGTCCTGTTTACCCCAGAAACAGCACAACTATCCTGTCTGCACAGATCGCCTCACAGGCACGGAGCTGGCCCCCAAAAACAGCCCAGCCTTGGACAAGCCCACGGCTATCTCCCTCCCAACTTAATGGCCTTTTGCCTCAGCATCCCCCTGCCACACACCATCACTTGAATGGATACAGAACCTGGCTTTGGCAAGCCCCCAAACCACATGTCTCATGTGCACTTTGCCTCACAAAGAAGATGCAAGCCCAAAGGTTTTGGCCACTCAACTGCTGCAAAGGCAGGATGAGAACTCCTCCAGGGCTCCACAAGGACACAAGCAGTCACCCCAAAAGCTAAAAACTGAAGTCTGTGTTCTCAGCCACAGTCTGTGGTGGTGACAGAAGCTGAGAAAAGGTCCCTCATGGGGCCAGCACTGCTACCTTCCTAACTATGCCCCCAACAAACACCAGAGCTGACAACTCAACACAGGAGAAGGGCAGGAGAAACTCAGGGACTTGGCCAGCACCTCTGAAGTTTAGCCAACGGCAGCTCTAGAAAGGACCTTTTCTCACAAGCAAGGCAGGGCAACCAAAGCAGAAGAACTGAGTGCCAAGGCAAAAAAAACCCAAGAGATTGCTAAACAGCAACAGCTTCTTCAAGGGCTCTCTCAGTCTCCCAGGGAGACCCAAATAGCCCAGAAAAATATGGGCAAGGGATGACAACATTAGGAACCAGGCAACACTCTTGGCCTCCACCACCACACTCCAGCTCATCCTTCCCCTCATCTTCTTCCTCCACTGCACACCCACCGTGTGTGCTGGGCTGGCTCAACACAGAGCCACTGCAGGGAGGGCCTCTCCTTCTGAGGGAGGGCTCTCCTATCCAGGGGCTCCTGCTCAGAAATCAGACGCATTGTGCAGTCAACACCCTACAAACAGCAATCCACCATCCACACCACTGCAGTGATTAAATGCCAGGAATCACAGAGAAATTGAGGACTACATCTCTGTAGTCCATGTCATACAGCATCTCTGCTCAGAGCAGCATCAACTAGACCTAGTTACTCAGTCAGGTGGTGGAATATCTCCAAGGACAGAGAACTCTCAACCACTCTGGACAACTTCTTCCACTGTTTAGCCAGTCTCACTGTAAAAAAGTGGGTGGTTTAATGTTTAAAAGGAATTACTTGTATTTTACTCCACTTCCGTTGTCTCTTGTCTGTTCACTGAATACCACTGAGAACTGGAGATTGAGTCTGACTCCATGTTTTTTTTACTCCCTCCAACAGACATTAGTACATATGGATAAGATTCCCTCGAGTTTTCTCTTCTCCAGCACAGTCACAGCTCTCTGAGCCCTGCATCAAAGCTGTTCCAGTCCCTTCACAATCTTCACAGCCATTTACTGAACTTCCTTCACTGTGTCCATATCTCTCTTTGTTTCGGGAGGCTTGCAACTTGAACAAGCACCTCCATCAGAGTGCTGGTAACACTCTCCCTAATGAATCCCAGCATGCTGTTATGTCCTTTGCTGCAATGGCACATTGCTGCTCACTGTGAACTTTGTGTCCATCAGAACTCCCAGGAATTCCTCTGCCAAGCTACTTTTCAGCTGGCCAGCCCCAAAACTATACAGGAACATGGGGCTGTTCTTCCCCAGGTGCAGGACTTGGTATTTCCCTCTACTGAACTTCATAGGGTTCTTGCTGTTCCATTGGTAACTAGTCTCCCAATGGGGTTTGTGCCACTTTTATAGGAGAGACTATTAAAAGCCTTACTAAAATTCAGATAAACCACATCCAGTGCTCTCCTCTCATCTATTCAGCAAGTACTCTCATTTTGGAAGGGTACTAATTTGGTCATATATGATTTTCAATTCATAGATCGACACTGACTTGCCTTCTTTTCTTTCAAATGCCTGGAACAACTTTCCAGATTAGCAGCTCAGTAACTTTCCCACAGTTCAAGGTCAGGCTGATCAGCCTGCAGTTCCTTCTTCCCACACTTCCTGGTAAATTCCTTTCAATCCTCAGAAACTTCCTACAAGCTATCCTTGAAGATAACTGTCACCCACGGATGCACCACAACAAACCCATGGACTTGTGCACGTTCACGTTGTTCAAATATTCCCTATCCTAATCCTTTCCCAAGAAGACTATGACTTCCTTGCCCTGCTCTTTCCCACTCTTCTCAGCCCATTCCTGCATATTTCCACAGTGCCTCTATATCCTTTCCACTTCACTCAATTCTGCTTCTGCCACTTGTGCACGTGCCTTTAATGGTAGACTCAAGTCAAGAGCTCCCTCTTCACCACGTGTCCCTCCTGCAACCTTGCTTAAGAGAAAGACTTTGTCATAGAGCTGACTGTTCCTGAGTCATAACTCATCTTTCTGAAAGGTGAACCTGAAATCCTTCACTCTTCACCCTTTCAGAGATGTCTGTGCAACAACCTGTGCTTGACAGCTTGAGCATGGACTTGATAAAGCTTTAGTGAAGTGAAAGACAGCAAAGGGTTGAAGTTCTTCATTTGCTGTACCTTCTTTCTTCTAGATTTTCAGTTGTGCCTGTATTTTCTCCTGTTACCTATACACTTAACCAGCTATTTTAAGGACTTTTTTCAGAAGCATGCTCTCAGAACTGTCAGTGCTTTGGGAGCACTCTGTCTTGGTCTTCAAGTTCTTGAAATGGTCAGTAATAAATGCAGTCTTTCTTAGGCCCATGCACATTTGTTTGGCAGTATCTGTATATTCCTCCCAGCATGCTTTTACCTGCTCCCACCTCACGCATGCTTCCTTTTTATGGTTCAGTTTTGTCAGTGCTCCTGGCTCCTTTGCTTTTTTCCCCTCAGCTGTTGGAACAGACCATTCTTGAAATTGGAGGAGGCAATCCTTGAAAGTCTACCACCTCTCCTGGATCACTCTTCTCCCCAGGATTGTATTCCATAGGAGTCTTCCAAGCAGATTCCTGAACAGGCTAAAATCTGCTCTCCCAAAGTCCTGCATTTTTGATCCTGCTTTTTGCTCTGTTTCCCTCATTTCAGGCTTACAAATGTCATCTTGCCACTGCAGACAGGACTGTTCCCAGCCTTTACATCTGCAAACAGCTGTTCCTTGTTTCTAAGAACTGTGTCCAGCAGAGCATCTCTCCTCACTGATTCACCACTTGTGTCACGATGTTGACATCAGCACACCCCAGAAACATCCTGGATTGCTTATGCCTGGATGTCTTGTCCCTACAGCAGGTACGGCAGTGGCTCAAGTCCTCCGTGAGGATCAGGACCTGCAAACTCAAGGCTTTTTCCAGGTGTCAGAAAAAGGCATCATCTGCTTTATCTACCACTTCTTCCCAATTAGGGCATTTGTAACAGACAGCCACCACATTGCCCATACACTGTTCTCTCCAGTACTCATAAGCTCTTGCTGTCTCATTATCCGTCCCAAGGGAGAGCTCCCAGCATCCCCACTGCTCCCTTACTTGGAGGGGCTCACAGAAACCCCTCCTACTTGCCACTGCAGCCCATCATTCCTCAGCAGCCTGTGTCAATCCACAGCAGCATGTCAGCTGTGTGTGTTGTTGCAACACCTCTCCATGACCCTCAATGAGATCACAGCCCTGAACAGCATGCAGGCTTCCAGTTTCTCCTGGTTGTGTCCCAGGCTGTGGATAGTCATGTACCAGCACTTCAGAGAGGTGCCCAGATCCACCCATTTCCAGAGAAGGGTATGAGAGCTTTCCTCATCCTCCTAGCTCACAGGAGTGGATGAATGTGGGATGGATCACCTTGAACCTTGCTCTCAAAGTCTCAATATAAAAGGTTTTTTGTTCATAGAGTTTATCATAGTTTCATAAATGCATATTTTCACATCTAATTTCAGGTACATTTCAGGTTTTTCCTGTTGCTAATGTTGTAAGTCATTTTCAACATTTTCTTCCCTTGTTTTCACATCACAGTGATTTTAAGTTTAGCAAAAATGATGGTTTGAGTTAGGATGAATTCAGATGTAAAAAGAGATGGGGTGGATGAGCACAGAAAAGCAGTCTTCAATTTCCTCCTTTGGGAGGGGTTTGGTTATTCAAGCAGAAGTCAAAGTTTTCTTACAGAAAGGTGCAACTACAATCTTCTTGTAAATGAACATGAAGTGAAGCAAATCAGGGTTCCTTGAAATGATACAATCACCTGTTACAGGTGCACAGTATTTCAATGTGAGTTCCCTTGCAGCGTTTTCTGTATGCTGAATTTAATTCTCATCTTGTGTGGAAACTGGAAGACATATCTACTGCACGAAATAAAAACTGTCAGCTTTCATCTTTCCTAGATCCAAGACAGTTAAATTAGTGTTCAGTAGTAAAAGAAATAAGGGACAATTTGTATCATTGCCTTCCCAACAGATGCAGTCTGCTCAGCATCAGTTACCTAGCCAATATTCACCTCACACAAATACTTTAAGCAGCATGTATCACGTGACAATCTGAGATCAATTTGTATTATTTATTGCCTACTTTATACTATTCCTTGTTGAATGCAATTTTTATGGTATGTCTTGGGCAGCTGCCCTAGCAGTAAGGAAAGTCCTAGGCTGCAGTCAGGATCATCAGCTGCTAGTAGACCCCTCGATGTGCATGCCTTTGCTTTCCTGCACCATTGTTCACAAAGAGATTAAAGGAAGAGGCAAGGGTCTTGACAGACATTTTGGAGATCAGAGTACTCCTAGAGTCATGAAGAGAGGCTGACTGACTGCCTGCTCTCACAGTAGGTTTGTGTGGACTCTGAAATCTGGTCTCAGCCTATAATGGAGCTCAAGTACTCTGGAGAGATAGGAACAAAGAGCAAAAGCTCATAGTGACATATGGCCCAGGTCCTGTATCAGGAAAGCATGCAGGAGCAGTCCCAAGTAGTTACCAGCTAAAACTAGTGCACAATCACACTTGCCACTCTGTTTAATGTCTGCCATGGGGACACTATGGACAGTGGCAACAGGAGGGTCATCAAACAGACCATGGGATCAGTCTTTGTGCCTCTCCTGCCTCCCAGGTATTCACAGGATGATTCCTCTCAGCTGCTTCAGCCACGCAGAGCATAGCTGGCATTCCTGAACCAAAGCCAGTGCTCCTCAACTACTTAAAGAACCCTGTTTAGTCACTTTCTCCTTTTTCATCTCCTAAAGTCACTTTTCACTCTTGTTACAGCTGCTGCAAAGAAGTCACTGCCTCTAGTGCCACCCAAGAGTCCACAAGGCCCTCAGCACACATCGTATTAGAGGATAAACAAGGCTCTCAAGGGAACGGGAGGATACCAGATTACACTCTGCAAGGCCCTAGTTAGAAACAGATGGCTATGTGCCAGAACTACCACGAGGAAGCATTAAATTGCAGGATCACAAATGTTCCCGGACCTGAGGTACTTGCAATCATGCTATTGATGTAGCTGCAGCCAATGCAGGCTTGGAACAAGTGAAAAAGAATCCCAAACGTGGTTGTCTCTTGCAAATGGGCAAATTCTGACAGTTGTAAAAATGCAGCAAGGGAACCTGTTGCTTAAAAACAGCCACATTTCCAGATATCAGTACAAAACCCAGGATGACTCTTGCCACACTCTTCACAGTAATGAGGGAGACTTAGTTCCGAGTTCTCAGAAGCCATACCGATCCAGCTGAGCAAACAAGGAAGCTCAGCCTTAAGTCCTGTCTCTCCAGATCTGCTCTGACAGCCATACATTGTGCCAAACATCTTCTAGCTTTCTGCTCTACCCCAGTCTACATAGACTTCAGGAATCCAGACATGGCTCCAAGTGAGGGAGAGGCTGCAAGCTCTCCACTCTAACAGACCATTTACATGTTATGCAGCTACACCAACTATCAAGAGAATGCATTCTGACTCAAAACCAAGAATGCCACACTATTGGACAAGGAGGTTTGTGGTCCTAGCAAGCTGCTTCCAAGGTGGTAGCCACCAAGAGACACAGGCTAGTGTAGCAAGGCCAAGGAATAAGGGACAACTCTCCCACCACACTAATTCTCTGCTAAGCTCTGTTCCACTGTCTCCTTGACCTGTGTGATGACTCCTTGCCCCTTGCACACTTGCTAAGTTGAGGAATTGCAACTCTTGCACCAAGGCACCTCACTTGCATGGGTTCTTCCTCACCTCAACATGTCTGTACAGTCCTGCCACTCTGCAACTCGTGACAAACAAGTCCTAGGCCCAAAGCAAGCACTGTCAGGCTTATAAGCAACAGCATTCAAAACAGCTTCACTGCAGGAAAAAGATGATGCTAAACCCCACCCAGAAGAGATGGTCAAGCTACACACATACGTAAAAGTTAACCTTCTTTAAGGTCCCAGGACAAACCATCAATACCTCTTCCAGAGTCAGAAATGCTGAGAGAGGAATGAGAGCTCTAAAGCCACATAAACTATCTTTCCAGCCATAACACACATCTCCAGGAAGACACCCCACAACTTTACATCTTTTGCATACACAGCTTCACAACTGGAATGCGCAGGCAGGAAAATAAGGGGCACTTGGTATCTGTGTCACAGTTTCCACTTCTCCCAGTACCATATGCACACTATGGTATTTTTCTCAGAAATCCACAGGATAAAAAGAGATAAAGTTATGAACCATGAACACTTTGCAGACACAAAAGCCATTTCTGAACCGTAACTGATTCTTACCTCTCCCATTTTGTTCTCTTCCATTCTGACCACTCCTGGGATACTCTCCAAGTAGCCTTCCAGCGTGTCATATCCTAGGTGCCTGAAGGGAATCAACTCATTGGTCAGAGATCTGTATTCACTCTGAAGCTCTGACAAACGTACACCATTTTTAAAGGCATGAAGAACAGCTCGCAGTGCTTTCACAACAAGTTCTGGCTCCTGCATCTTCACCTATAACCACCCCTAAAAGAAAAAAAAGAAAAAAGCATTTTTACATACAGAGGCTAAAACTAGCAGCTTTTACTATTCAATCTCCCTCCCTAAACAAGCAAGGATTCAGCAGCTCAGTGGAGACTGTGATACTTCTGGGTAGACTTGTAGGGCCCTGGTTGTACCAGACAAGCATCATGTGGTACGGAACACACAGGACATGACGTTGTCAAAAAACACTACTGAAGGAGCACAGCAACCCTCATGCACGGGCTGGCTCTGCCAGACCACCACGACAGACTGCATGGCCAGAAGAGGGGCAGGGCCTGCTAAGTAACTGGCCTACCAAAGACAAGTGCTTGGATATTGCACAAGGGACACGGTAACCCTGGCTGCGTGTATAGGGAACGAGATGCTGGAGAGCAGTGCTGTGGAAAGGGCCCTGGGCTTCCTGGTTGATGGCAAGCTGAATCTGAGTCAGCAGTGCCCTGGTAGCCAGGAGGGCCAACCCTGTCCTGGGGGGCATCAGGCAAAGCATTGCCAGCCGGTCGAGGGAGGGGATTGTCCCGCTCTGCTCTGCACTGGGGCAGCCTCACCTTGAATATTGTGTGCAGTTTGGGCACCACAATGTAAGAAAGATATTTAGTTATTAGAGAGTGTCCATAGGAGGGCCAGGAAGATCATGAAGGGGGAAGGTACACAAAGAGCAGCTGAGGTCACTTGGTCTGTTCAGCCTGGAGGAGACCGAGGGGAGACATCACAGTCTACAACTTCCTCACAAGGAGAAGCAGAGGGGCAGGCTTCTCTTTTCTCTGGTGACAGGACCCAAGTGGCAGGACCCAAGGGTCTGAAGCTGTGTCAGAGGAGGTTTAGACTGGCTATCAAGATAAGGTTTTTCATCCAGCAGCTGGTTGGGCACTGGAACAAGCTCCCCAGGGAAGTGGTCACAGCACCAAACCTGCTGGAGTTCAAGAATTGTTTGGACAATGCCCTCAGGCACATTATGTGATTCTTTGGGCTGTCCTGTGCAGGGCCAGGAGCTGGGACTTCATGTGGGTCCCTACCAATTCAGAATATACTGTGATTCGATGACACCTTACTACCTGCATGGCCAGAACTTCCACTGTAAGTGGGACAAGGGCCCACCACCCCCACCTTGGCACCCAGCACTCCCTCCACTCATACCCCACGGTGACACCATGAGTGCTTGTCCCTCACCTGAGCCTGCATCCCCACACCAATGCCCACGTGTCAACTCCACCACGGAAAACACATGCACCCGGGCCATGCAATTTCTTACCCACAGGCGCACAATGCCTTGATTCCACTGATGCTCTTCAGAGAGAAAACCCAAAAGAGGTCCCCAGGCACATGTTCCTCTGGCACTGGGATTTGGTTCTGGCCTTCTGCTTTTGCAGCCTGTGTTGCCCACTTCTGGTAGGGCCGTGGGATGCCCACAGCCAGCCCCACTGATACGCTCTGCATGACCATCCCATTGGGCTCTGCCCTGGCATGGAGCCTTCTCAGCCTGGCTCACGGGACACATCTCTTCTGGACACAGGACAGGGCGTTTGCCCAGGCCTGACTGGTGGCCACCTCACAGTGGTTCATAGCCCTCGGACATGTCCCAGTTCTCTGTGGCACTTCTTAGGTGCTCCCACAACACGTCAATGCTTTCTCTGCAGCCACGCAAAGTGGGAGGCAGGAACCTGCCTTTTACTTTTGTGTCATTACATTTCATTCACATCTAAGGATTCATTCCATTAGCTCTTTAGAAAGACTGCTTTATCTACCTTATGCTTGTAATTTTACCAGTCTATTTAATTTATATACCTCTAGAAACACACAACATCAACATATCTATGCACACATATATACTGATACACTCCTTCATACACAAATTTCTAACTCTCTACATACTGTATGCATTGTATAAAAATATTTTGATATCTGAATACTTCCTGGTAGAAGGAAGCAGGAGTTGCAACACTGACAAAATGGCAGCTCCCTTGCACAAAATGGTAGCAGAAACCCACCAGCCAGGGCTCCTGCCTGGGAAGCCTGGGCAGTGCAGAGGGTGGTTCAAAGTGGGGCCAGCACCACCTAAAGCCCTCCCAGCCCCCTCAGCTCACAGGCCTGCACACGCTGGGGGTGTTCCAGGAGCATCCAGCTATGGAATGCCAGGCAGCTCCAGGCAAAGTGCTCCTGCACAGGTGTCCTGTTTGCAGGCCCTCACTCGCCACAGGCAACTCCTGCCACAGGAACTGCCCCCCACAGCAGGGGACCGGACCTGGATGGAGCTCTCCCACAGCACAGGAACAACCCTGCTCTCCAAGCAGGTGCTGCATGCAGGCTCAAGTCCCAACACTCATCAAACTCACGTGCTTCAAACACCTCGTCTTCACCACCCAACAACTAATGCCTGCAACACCGGCACAGCCATCACCTCACTCTCCTCCAGATGTTCCAGCTCAGGGCACAACAGCAGAGTCCCCCACTCCCCAGAACACCAAGGTGAGAAACTGCTGCCCACGGACCTGCACATCGATGCTCTCCCTCAGTGGCAGCAGCGGCTGCAGCTGCAGCGCCGCCGTTCCGGACTCTGCAGAAGGCTGGGCTGCACTGCTCTCTGCAGAAGCAGCCCCTCTCCTCTCACAGCTTCCCTTCCTGAGGAAATCACCCGGGGCAACACACCAAGTTCAAAAGAAGGAGAAAGCTCAACCTCAGCACATTGCAGGTACACACTTCAGTCACTCCCTTCCTGCACCCAACTTCACAACAGCCCAACTCAGGGGCCGGGCAAGGAAGGACAGCATCGAGTCCTTTTCTTCACCTTTCCTTGAACAGGTTTACTTCAGGCACACACAGCACTTTACTAACCTGACCGTGTCCCTCTGTGTGTACGCTCATATTTCCACACAGGCACACCCACGTACCTGCACCTACACACACAGCACTGCCTATACCTGTGGTCACACGTGCATGGTTCCTTAAACCCTCTGCCCCTGCTGGTCCAGCGTCCTTCACTGACTGATCGTGGAACAATCTCTGCCACACCTGCCCTCACATCCTCCCCTCACAGCTACGGGCACAGCGGTACCGCACCCAGGAGGAGGAGCACACGCTGAACTTGCACACCTCCACAGGGACATGGGCAAAAGCTACACTGGGCTCTTGGATCCTTCTCTCATCCTTTTAGAGACTTTGCAGCAGGTGAACTGAGCTTCAAAGAGTGAGAAGACGTGGTTGTCACCTGCTGGAAGAAAAACACTCAGGAGGTTCATATCTCCTTTGGATCCACTCATTGTCATGGGGATGTCATGTGTGAGACAATGTGTAAGTGGTTTAAAGTTCTGACCATTTACAAAAACCAAACACTCAAGCATTGAAAACTACACCAAACAATGCAGTTCTGTCTACAGTTGTGTTCCAAGCCACATTCATACAGAAGACACAGAAAAGTCATTGAGAACCTTTTTTAGGGCCTTTACTCTTCCTTTTAAATAACAGACCCAAATTCTTATTTGGTTAACATGGCTCTTGAAAGTCCTTGTATCCAAACTACTTGACTTTAACTTTCTGCTCAGGAAAAGAGTGACAATGAAGAAAACTTACAATAACCTGGGAAGGCAGTTTCAAAATTTTATTCAAATGAAGAAAGTTCACTAAAAAAAGAAAAGGAGTAGGATCATGAAGGAATGACATCATGCCATTATCAGACAGGTTAGTTGCATACCAATAATAGAGAGCTGAATTAGATCAGAAGCAGCAAACAGCATACCATAAACTATATCCTCCTAAACTATATTATGAGGAGTAGTCATGAGGACAATTCCCTTAGCTGAATGAGGTGGCAGATTCTAGGGTACAAAGGTTAAACTCAATCCAGTCTTAACCTTACACCTGAGGTGTACACCTTCTCATTCCCACCCTGCAATAATGCAGAAGGACTTGCAAGGCGTTCAAGTCTGTACCCATTACTCCTCGTAATGATGACAACACCGATAAATTAACACAAAGCTACATAGCTCAGAGTGGTTTCCGAGGCTTTTTAAAAATCCTTTTTGTGGTTAGCTGCTTTAGGATTATGTCATTCAGCAGTTATGACATTCCCCCAGCGGCTCACTGCCTCCGGACAGGAGGACACTTCATTGGAAACACAGCCCGAGCCGCCTCATCACCACTAAGTCAGCGCACATCGCTCAAACCATCTCTGCCAGCATCTGAACCGAAACTTTTTTCAGTTTGCTCAGAACAGATGAGCAGGCTCCGCACTGTGCAAAGCAGCGTCCGCACTGCGGATCATTAGCCGGGCTACGGAAAAAAAAGGAAGTGCAGACAGCTCTCCCACGCACTCCTGGTAGCCACGCTTTTAGCAGACCACAAACACAGGTCTCTTCCGAAGGCACAAAGCAGTCACTAACCCGCTGAGGTCGGGACACTTTCTCTGTCACCACGCAGACCCAGAGAAGGAGCCGCCTCCCGCCGGCGGGCAGCGCCCGTCCCTCCGCGCTGCCTGTCCCCTCACTCCGCGAGGACTTACGCCCAGCAGGGCTCCGCTGCTTCCTTACCACCTCCTGACCCAGGGGCTTTCAGACACCAGCCAGAGCCTCTTCCCCCGTCGCTGCCGAGCCGGCGCGGGGCCCGGGCCGGGCGGAGCCGCGCCGCCTCCCTGCGCGGGGCCTGCACTGAGGGACCAAACAGCCGTTCGCCGCCGCCGCCGCGGCCCGGCCCCGCTCCCCGCCCCCCCATGCGCGCCCGGGCGGCCCCCGGCCCGCCCGTCGCTTCTGCCCCGCCCGCCCGGCCCTGGGGCCCCGCCTGCGGGCTCCGCGCCCTGCCCTCCCCGGGAGCTGACCCCTGTCCCGCCCGGGGCCGCGCAGGGCTCAGAGGGTGCGGGTGCTTCTGCCCCGGCCGTGCCGCAGCAGGTCGCCGTGCCCGCTTCCCACGGGGGCGGTGAGCCCTTGGTCCTGTCACAAGGCAGCAGCCAAAATCAACTTCTTGAGGGAGAGGCTGAGGAATGACTGTTCAGTGCATCTCTCCTGCAGAGAACCAAAAAGTCACGGAATCTTAAGGGGTTGGAAGGGACCTTAAAGGTCTTCTAGTCCCAGCCGCCCCTGCCATGGGCAGGGACACCTCCCACTGGACCAGGTTGTTCAAGGCCTTGTCCAACCTTGGCCTTGAATGGTGCCAGAGTTGGGGCATCCACAACCTCCCTGGGTAACCTGTTTCAGTATCTCGCCACCCTCACAGTACAGAATTTTTTCCCGACACCTGGCCTGACTTTTCCTGTTTCCAGTTTGTACCCATTACTCCTTGTTCTATCACCACAGCTCCTGATGGAGTCCCTCTCTGGCCTCCCTGTAGACCCCCATCAGATACTGGAAGGTTACTGTGAGGTCTCCACACAACCTTCTCCACGCTGAACAGCCCCAGCTTTCTCAGTGTGTCTTCAGAAGGCTGGTGTTCCAGTCTTCTTTGCAACTTCATGGCCCTCCTCTGGACTTGCTCCAACTGTTCCGTGTCCTTATGTTGGGGACACCAGAACTGTACACAGTACTTCTGCAGGTCTTAAATTAATTCACTTAAATGCCTTCATTTCTGAGTACAGAAAACTTCACTGAATTTCATCTGTACAAAACCATTGCATGGTTGCATGTTCCATCAAGGAGGTACTGGCAGGTGCCTGTCTGCAGTCCCCTGGGCCTGCAGCCCTTCTCAGCAGGGCTGTGGTTGCTCAGCCCACACCCAACCTGCTGCCAAGCTCCAGGTGCTGTGCATCTGCATGGGCACCTCGCACATTGCTCCGTACTTCAAACCTGTAGATCCCACAGGTTCGGCTTTGAACAGCTGTTCAGCTGTTGCAAACTGCAACAGCATTCCCCTCTCTGCAGATGTCTGCTTCTGAGAGCCAGACTGGAGGCTGTATCAGGTCAAGCTGCATGACAATGGAGAGTCACCAAAGCCAAGCCAGAAGCTGGCCCTGCAGAGGGAACCTGTAGGGACACATGCCAGGCAAAAGGTGGAGCTGCTGAAACTCACCTGGGGTGTGCCTTCAAGGGGCTCCCAGTGATGACTACCACCAATACTTAGTGACAACAACCTTCTGCTATGACCATGACAGCCTCTGGAGACTGGGTGCCATCAGAGTCCAGGATTCTCTGACCAGGCTTTTTTAGATTATCCACACATGGAGGGTCCAATGTTTAATAAAAAGTTTACTCATTTGAAGCTGTTTGCATTTATGAGGGTTTTCCATCCAATAGGGTAATACAGCAGTCATAGTATAAATACACATTAAATTTTGCAGACTATTGCATTTCAAATATGTTATGAAATCACAATATAGTTGTCAATCTCATAACTGGTCTCTAGAATATGTGTATTGTTACAACATTGACTGTCTCTAACTTCCAGGAGGGACTATGTATGTTGCAGCCAGCTGAAGCCTGGAACTCTCTCTTTAAAGGTCCTTTGTTCATTGTTTTTGACATTTTTGTACTTAATTGCACTAAATCTAGCTGTCAGAGCTAAAACAAGAAAAACAGAGTCGTAGGCCAAGAGAAGTTCACTCAGAGTAAACTTCACAGCCCGTAGCCTGGGTCCTTGTAAACTCAGTACTCATGCTACTGCCCAGAACTCTATCCTGGGCCTTCAAAAGCAGGTCTTACTTTTTTATTTTTCCTTATCTTGGTCCAGCGTGACCATAATTTTGTAAAGACAATAGTTGGACACACTTGTTCTATGTCAAATGAGATATTTGCATTACTAACACAATGATGTAGTAAGAGAA